AAAAAAAAAAATATATATATATATATATATATATATATGTAACTTTATTACAATTATAACAACAAAATTCTAACCTAAAATCTTCAATATTAAATGATTTTATAAAAAAAAATATGTATGGAACCACAATATTAAAGCTTCTGGGGTCACTGTGACTGCAATTGCGGCCCATTTATCAACAATTTCCCAACAATATCAAGATTGTGACACCCAATTTAAAAACCAGACAAGACCCATTGAAAAAGAAGCAAACTTTGGCAAACCCAGATGGCAATTATCTTGGAAGAAAGAGAAATGGTACCAGGTTTGCAGAACCAAGCTTCATCAGCATGATCATTGAGGGAGTGGTCAAGGGACAAGAAGTCAACCCACTTGGGTGCGTTGATGTTTTCGTAGAGTTCGTCTTCCACGAAGCTCCACTCGAGTCTCTTCCAATCAATTTTCGCGGGTTCCATTGATGAGAGAGACGAGTGCGTTGAGACCCAGAAAGCGTTGGATGAGAGTGTGTGTGTGTGTGCACGTGATAGTGAAGGGTGCAAATGTGACCGTTATGATATGAGTCAGAGGGAACGGAGGAATGAACGTTAGGAACCGACATTGGATCGCTCTTTGTCTTGTGCTTTTGACCGTTGGAGATCTGCGTCAATTGATTCATCATCAGTAGTCATGATTAAACTAATGTTGTTGATCACATGATTACGATATAATACTACCTAATTAGTAGGGAAAAAATTTATGATTTAATAAAAATATATAATTTTTTTCTAGCATATTGGTAGTAAAATTACATGTGAAGTCTAGTAATTAATGAGCTAGACACAAATAATTAATATATTAAATTTAAAGTTAAATCATTAAGTAGTATTCAAGTTCAATTCTTGATTGAAATAATTCTTAATTAAACTTTATCTTTCTATCGAATTAAATTAGTTTAAGATGAAGTTTTAAAATATTAATGTAAGTTTTAGTAAAAAAAAATATTATAATGAAGATGAAACTTAAGATTTCATTCTATTTTCAATTTTTAATATCAAGTGGATTCTTAATTTTTGTATTCTCATCAATACATTTGTATTAACTTGAACAAGATCTTTTTATATATAAATAGTTTAGTTACTTAAATTAATTATGTTGCAAGTTTAATTCTTTGTTTTTGTGTATATAAATTCTATTCCCTTAGTAAGTTTGAACACTTGAAAAGAAAATATTTTTGGGAAACGAGTTAACTTCATGGTTAAACAAAACACTACTTATAATTTCACTTTCTCATATTATTTTCAAGTAAATTAAGTTTTCTTATTTTAAAAATATATTTGAAAATAAGAAACGTAAAGAGAGAGATTTTGTTGTAACAATTTAAAAAATAAATAAATCCAATGATTAAATTTTCTAAAAATTTATTAAAAGAAGAATATATGACAATGATTTCTTTGTGTGCTGATACAAACAATTAGAATTAATTTATCATTTTTCTTTTTGTTGAATGGTCTTAGCAAAGACACAAATTAATTCATAACCATCAAAAGAGTTATTTTGATCAGCATCGTCTTTGTAAAAACAAAGACATTATTTGATAGGCGAAATCTACAATACATCCATGTATCACATGATTTATGAGTGGACTAATAAAATAAAATATATTTTTCATGTGGTTCACTAGTGAAGAAATGAAAAATATTATTAAATATATGAATAATTAAATTGAACAGTTTATATTTACATAATAATAAATTTTTTATTAATGTAAATTTTATTTTTTGATAGTAAATAACCATTTTGTCAAATAAAAAACCCTCATCACCCCCACTGTCAACTCCAAGCTCCTTCGACACCCCCACTCTCATCTCCATCAACCCTAACCTCCTTCTTCAACCCTGTCAACTCCAATCTCCTTCTTCAACTCCATTAGCCTCAACAACAACAACACCTTCAGCTCCCGAGGGCTTT